CATGCAGCACTTTGTAAATGTCACAATGCCTAGGCTACATGCAGCACTTTGTAAATGTCACAATGCCTAAGCTACATGCAGCACTTTGTAAATGTCACAATGCCTAGGCTACATGCAGCACTTTGTAAATGTCACAATGCCTAGGCTACATGCAGCACTTTGTAAATGTCACATTGCCTAGGCTACATGCAGCACTAGGCTATATGGAACACTGCCTAGGCTACATGGCGTATCTTGTAAATGTCACAATGCCTAGGCTACATGCAGCACTTTGTAAATGTCACATTGCCTAGGCTACATGCAGCACTAGGCTATATGGAACACTGCCTAGGCTACATGGCGTATCTTGTAAATGTCACAATGCCTAGGCTACATGGAGCATCTTGTGAATTTCACAATGCCTAGACCTTATGAAGCATCTCGTAAGTGTGTGATCTAACATCTGCATACAAAAAAGACAATTGATTCTTGTGCAATTTCCTGTAGTCTACTGAGCAAATGATGGTTCATTGGTTAAATATCTCTACAATTATATTACTAATAATAGTGGATGAAGGACCGATAATATCCATTTACTCATCTTAAATTATTGTCACCGAGATAAATAATATGATTCAGTATTTAATATTTATTAAGTTTTGATTGGTTGCCATCATGAAATGTCTGCACCCCAGGATTACTGGTTGTACACTGTTTATGCATTTATGTAACAAACAACATCACGGTGATTCCTCTTATCTCTTTCCAGTCATTACGAACCATGGCATCAGAGAACGATGGGAAGGTCACATGTCCAAGAACAAAGGAAGCATTTGATATAGATCAAGCGGAAAAAGTTTTTGTTATGTAACACAACTTTTTCCCCAATCTGTTGTCTATGTTGTATGTCAACATCACTTCATTCAGCGCTTTCAAACAATTCATCACCCATAGTCTTCTGCATTGTGTCAATTTCTTCAAAGATTGATGCTGCAAATAGCTCTGTTTCCTTCATTCCCCCTGCTCTCCGTTCCCTGTGATTCTTGTCTATTATTTTACTCTCGCACCATTCCATACTGCCCCATTATCAAGCATTGATTTGTCTGCTTCCCAATTGAGGGCAATCTCACTCTGACAAGTCAGTCTGGCTGTACCAAAAACAATACATTGGCAGAGAGAGCACGCCCTCTATTGGTACACTTGAAGTTTACTTCAGAAACTGTTAGGCCAGACTTTTTTTATTCCTTGTTGCTTGAGTTTTTTATAAGGCAATTTTTTTGAGGAGGGCGGAAAAAAAAAAAATTTATGCTTTTTTTTCCCATTAGATTTGTGTGATTCTCAAAGAATTGTGGGTGAGATCATTGATCGGAGAGATGAAATGAAATTTTATTCCATGTATAACCTTGTTTCTCATCTGCGCGAGACTTCGGTACTTTGATCATGACACTCCCACGAAAATGCAACTTGGATTTATTATGCGGCGGGCGAAAAAAAATGAAGATAAAAATAAGTTTTTTTTAGCAATTTTTTGCACTTACCGGTACAAGTTGGCGGACGCGAGAAATTACGCTGAAATAAAATTTTATTTTTATTTCATTTTCGGCTCTTGTTCATTCGGCGGGTTCGCAAAACAAGGGATAATAAAAGTCTGGCCTTAATAGCACCACCACTCACTGCCATTTTTTCAGAATTTGGATATTCCTTATTTCTTGTATTAGAAAAGCCATGAGTTCTAATATGCCAATGACATGGGCATTTGATAAAGCAGTTTGTTCACTTCAAATCAAAGAAATATGTATTTCAACATCGTAATGCTTCAGCAATGTGGCTCATGAATTCTTTATGACCATGTGATTCTGTTGCATTGTGGGATTGATGGTGTGAACCTCAGTTTTAGCAGTGTTCCTTTTCACACTGAGGTGATCTTGTATTTACAGAGTTTTTTTAAAGGTCTCCCCTGACTATAAACATTTCTTGTATATTTACTGTGTTTTTTCTTTATTATCCATAAATTATTTGCGCCATTGTGGACATTAAAAGAATACAATCTTGCTTTTCTTTCGTGCTATAATGGTTTTGATTTTTTTGATGATACTTTATTCTACCCATATTCATTTCCACTAATATTACGAAAAACTATTAGGAGGAAGACTTTTCTGGAGACGAATTAACAGTATGTTTGTCATGAATCATTCTGTATCCAAACCCACCATTGATATGATATATCCTTCTGTTGATCAGATAAGAAATACATTCCATCTGGCATTCAGCCAATCAGAGTGACACTGGACTTGCTATGTAATATATTAGTTAAACCCGTCGAAACAAACTCTGCATAAACCGAAAACTGTTCCTGCAATGGATTTGGAAAGACCCCAATAAACACGATTGTTTTCTGTTCTCACGTTTTACTTCATATTACTGCTGAACTTTTCAGCGTAAAACTTTTTTTTCTACAAGAAGCTGTGGATTTATATGTACTGATTTATAAATTATAATTTTACCATTTTCTTTTTGTTTGTTTTTTTTTTTGGGGGGGGGGGGGATTTTCAATTAGAAGATTGATGTCTCCTTCCTGATTTTTTTCTTTTTTCACAGTGGAGCTGGTGAAGGGTTATGAAATGGTTGTTTTGTTGTTAAAATTTCATGTACATTTTTTGCTGTGTATATACTAAGTGCTAATAAATAGCAGTGCCTTGCTATATCTACTCAGTTTGTGAATTTGTGTTATTTAGGTTACAAGGATGTGTACTTTGGATTATCAGGAACAATGGGTTTAATACTGTATTTACCCTATTAACCTTCCAGCACCTATTTTGTGTACCACTCAAAGTGGGGTAAGATTGTTCACAAAATAAAGCCCAAACTTAATCAGATTGAACCATTGACACATCTCTGTTTTTTATGAAAGTATCTATGCTGCTAATAGAGCAAATACTGTACTCAGATTAACTATTTCCCAGTCATAAAAAAAAACTACCGGTATAAAGAAAAGTTCCCTTAAAGCGCGGTACATTTGTGTTGATAAACAATGATTTTCCCACAATCCAATGCGCTCTTCAAATGGGGAAATCACAAGTATGAGGTTTGACCTGGGCGTGACTTGCACTGATTACCGCCGGTGACTCCTTCGATACCTTCCAATAACATGAAAATCACTTATTTGAAGCTTGGAAACGTCTCAGTTCGTACTCGTTGATCTGCGCAACAGTCAAAGTCGCCATCTTTGTTTATATGAGACCCATATATCTTGTACATGCACAGCGCAACGACTACCGCGCTTTAAATAACATCTCCCAAACTAACTGCATTCCTATATTGCATAAGACCATTAATTGATTTCCAATTGGAAATTCCCTTTCATGTTGTACACCTAGAAAGAAAATGTCCATGGTATTTTGTGGTTCAGTGATGATATTGACTGTGACATACCCATAAACTTGTCACCCGGAGATTACAATTGTCACTAAAGTTGAATATCGTTAACCAGTGGTGTGTGTAAGTTCATATTTTCTGTAATTTTCACTGAAAGCAATCTTGATTTTGAACCAAACGAGTTTTTGATTCAAAAAATTGAAAATTTTCTTAACAATTTCCTGTGGGACTATAAATGGAACTATTTTGTTGATGGTGCATGGAGTTGCCTTCAAGGCTCAGAGGGTTAAAAGTGCACATAAGCCAATCACTGCATTTGTTAGATGGTGGGTCATTGGTTGAGTTTAACCTTTGACCCACCTCTGTTTTGTACGGAAGAGTATATGCTACTAATCAAGCAAATACAGTACTCAGGAAAACGATTCCCAGTCATTAAAAAAATCTTAGAACTAAAAAGAAGATATTCCCTTAAATACTGCCCCTCCTATGTTGCACATGGCTGCAAAGTGATTTCCAGTTGATAATATATTTCATGCCTTCCCTTTCATGTGATACACCATTTGAAATGGAAACATCAACGTATTTTGTGGTCCAGTGATGGTATTGACTTATTTATATGGACTGTTGTCCCACTGAGACTGCAATCATCGCCATTTATGTGAATGTAAACTTCATGTGTACATCTATTAAGAGGCATTTAAATGAAATATTACACTACCAAATATGGGCATGTGTGCCCTCATGCTAAGGAGAACAATGACCCACTTAACGTTGGTCAAATCATCTCGTGTACATCAAGAGCAGAGATGTGTCTATGGTCAGGACAAATCATATTTTAAAGAATGTGTTCGAATTTCATGTAAACAAACAATGTATTTTACACGCGTTGTATACGTTGCTATGAGTCCCATATCCAACATGATGCAGTACGACGACTGCCGCCTTTCAATGCTCCAGAGTACAATAAACGCAATTCTTGGTTTATCTGAGGTTCATTTCTAATAGAACAAATACCGTATGCATGACATGACAATCTTCCAGTTATATATTCAATACAGGAAATTATGAATTTCATTAAAAGTTTACTTTCTTGTCCCATACTGCTCTTTTTAATGAAAGTTCATTTTGACTTGTTGAGGGCGCTCTACTATCAAAAAGGAGTGCGAGTATAAATAACATGTTACTGCTGATGACATCATGGTTGTTCCCCAGAGTTATGGAGGGACCAGAATTGTATTTGCATATTACAGAATATGACATAGTGGGAGTGTGTACAAATCTTTTGCTATCTGAGCAGTCGCTGGGTTGCCATGGCTTGTTAGCTTGTGTATATATCTGGTAGCATCGCTTATGTGTGGGCTACGATTACGAACACAACGTTCAGTACCACCGATGTGGTGAAACCTCATTGATTATGTTGAACGTTACTTTGCATAAAACTTCAAACTGCGATGACCCATGCGTTGTGGAATACGGAAAAGGGTTCGAAGCATGCACACTACTACACAATATGTAAATAACTTTAACGAGGTTATGACATGGACGTATTTCAGGATTATTAATTTCAAGTGAAATTATTAATTGAAAGCATTATCATGAAACACCGGAATCACGTATATTAAGTATTGACCTCCACTCTGTCTATTGTGGTTATTTGAAGACTGTACACGTTTTCTATCATATTAAACTGGTCACCAAATTTAACAAGTGTCTGTGCTGTTTTCACTGATGCTGGAGTGAGCGTTGGCAAGCCTAAATAGATTTGCCTCAAGATTTTAGACAATTATACTGGTAGGATGCCCACCTGTGAATTCAAATACGTAACGAGTAACAGCAATTATAGTTATTCTTCGAAGTGCATATACTTAAATTATTGCTTCTATCTAGCTTATCATGTTAAATATGAGCCACTATAGGGGGCTACTAATTTGCAATCAGGGTGGGATATTGTTATTACACCTTCCCAAAATCTTTTACATTATAATCTCACTTTTCAGGGCCTGACCATTTAGGTTTAAAGGAGGCTTCTATAATTAGGTGTACAAGTTTAATTTCTACATAACCCGTGGTATTAACAGTTGTCTGGTTGTTTCTGCGATTGGGATGTATTGGTGGTGTCGGTGCACTTCTATAATTATTTTGTTAATTTCATTATTTGAAAATAAAACATATATATATAAATGTTTATATTTATCTATAAATTTATAGCATATGAATGTAACCATGTGGTCAAATTGCTGAATAATAATAAATCCAACATTCATTCGACTAACCCTCAAAAGTGGTTTCTGTGATTCCATTCATTGTTCAGTTTTATAGACGTGACTTTTGATAAATGTTCAGGAAATATGTATAAGCTTAATTACAGAAGTCATCATTGAATATTTTTAAAAAATATCGGTAATTATGGATATGTTCTGTGATAAAACGTTCATTCCCAGACTCTACTTGTCATCTATAAGTGTTCTTCCATACACCATATGGTGGTACCTGAAGTGAATATTAAATATAAATTAAACGCACATTACAAACACTCCGCACGGAATTCAAACTCACGACTACAGCAAATATGTCTCGCTACTGTAAACGAACGATATTCTCGACATAACTTTCTATGTTGCCAAGACGCGCAGCATGGTACCGTGTCTTTCACTAATCGGGGTGCCGGTGAAAAATTTAAAAACAGGACAAACTCAACTTTTAAGTAATCCTGAGCAACCAAATGAATAAAATGTTGTACATGTAGGGGTAATCTTGTTACCCTGTTCAAATGAGTCTTAACAACTACACCAAAGTAGCGTTTTCTGAGAGTTTTCGGCCTTTTTTTTCACTGTGATGGTTGCCAGGAAGTGAAAATACTCCGACGTCTGAAATGAGAATACCGCACTGTTCCAAAATAGACAACTTGAAATAGAACGTAGTGAACGCACACTTACAATGACGAAATGGACATGCGCAATTCGAATATGAGGACTTAAATTGTTTCCTCTTAATGTGGTTTGCTACCATTACAACTAACATCAGATTTATTTGACGTTTACTGTTTTTTTATTATGTCCACATAAAAAGAAATTGAGCCACATACAACCAGTTATATTTTGTTTGTATTTAAGGTAGAGATGCAGTGAATGTTTTTTTTTTTTTTTTGCTTTTTATTATCCAAAAAGTCTTGGCTATAGACTGTTGAAATTTTGTAGATTTGTGAATAGTGGAACATACTCAAAAAACGATTTTAAAATATAGATAACAGGTGCAAACATTATTTCATTTGAATGCTTAGCAAGATTTAGCAAGGCTGTACATAAATAATAAAAAAGAAACATGGTGAATAAAAGAAATGATGGGATCTCTATATTATGCACTGTATTTAACTTTTTACAAAACGATAATACATTTAAATTTGGAACTGTAACAGCCATTTTAATTATGAGCATTAGCAAACTTCTTGCTGAGTGAATTGTTTTGCAAATTAGCAATTATCTCAGCTTCTTTTTAGTGCACATTCCAGAACTTTAAAAAAAATGGCTCCTTAGACGCTTCGACCTTTTGTTTTGAAATTTTCACAAATGATTGACAATGTGTTTATCTTCAAAACGCCGTCGGGGCATTGTTTTTAGTTGAATAGTGTTACAGCAATCGTACAGACAACTAGCCTGGATGTTAATTTATGCATAAACTTGAAATAGTGAAATTTGAGTTGCTGCCCTACAAAATTGACAACTGGTAGACAGTTTTCAAGACGGCACTTTCTTCATAGTAAACAGATGTACTGATAAACCAATTTTGACAGGAAACAGAAGCATGGTTTAGAAGCTAATTTTTTTTAAATCACTTTTGATCAAAAAAGCACATTTTTGTGCATATTTCAAACTACAGTGTCCATAAAAATAAAATACTAACAAAAGTTTAAAATTCATACAATAAGCTTTCCGAAAATATATAGTTTTGTGAACAAGGGAGGTCATCTTGGTTTCCTAATTAACTAATTAAAATACCTGTCAGGTAAACTGCATCTCTACCTTAGTGTATTTATAAGATTGTTTTTTATGATTCATGTATTATTTGAACATTCTGACAAATCCTTTTTTCGTTTATGAAATATTGCTCAGCATGGATTCCTATGGCTAGTCTATAAAATTAACAAAAATAATTCGTACTAGGTAAAAAACCATAACAAAATAAAGTTACAATGACAAAATCATTAATTATCTGACAGACAAATACATAGTGAAAGGCGCAAAGTTGTATTGAGATATTCAATAATCATGGGCTCAGAGGCTAATTCTAACTACGCCTATAATGTACACACTTGCAATCACGTGACATTTACAACAACTATTACCGTCCACATATTCAAAATAAGTTGTTAGCTTATTGGGTAATGTTGCATCATCTCATTAATATAAACTAGAACTAACAATGATGTCACAATTTCTGGATTGGTCGATTTGAATTCTAAAATTCATTTTGATTTACACAAATATATATTTATAAAACGTTTATAACGACCACAGCTTTAGGCCCTTTACTATATTTTCACACTTTAATTGTTATGATCTTTGGGCAATATCAGGAATAAATTGGTTATGATTTCATGCCAGTTATTTAAATGCTTGATCAGGTTAATCAGTTTTCTGTATTTTCATTGTTGCTGATTTTAAGGTGTCACTATACCATGTTTTCCATACTATACCCATGTAGTTGTTTACTTGTGGAAAGTATAACCCGTTAAGATGGGAACTTGCGCATGCTCTGAACCACCATGCACCACGCCAACTACTGGCACAGTTATAGATAAAGATGTCATTGTCTCTGTCGTAGGTGCTGAATGGTTGTCCATCTAAATTCTTATAAATCCTCATCGCATCCCCAGCTGTGCCTGAATATTGTCCCAAATGCAGTGTGTAGTTATTGTTTTCATTTTCAATCCAGAATGTATCATACTCGGCATATGAAGTATTACCATCAAACTTTTCTAAGTCAATTCTCAACTTATATGATGCTTGGTGTGTCAATCGATATATTTTGTCATTTCCTATCCAGTATTCACCATCGGTATTTCCAAATCCTACTTTATAATCAGCCCAGTTTCTATAGAAGTCAACAGATCCGTCTTGTCTACGCTGTATGACGGTCCATGCACCAGACTCGGTCATCTCACAGTACACATCAAATGGCTGTAACATTCCAATGGGGTTTAGTTCATATACTCCACTGTATCTACCATAGACATCTAGAATTGAGTCACAATCTAGAAAATAAAATAAAAACATGACACGTTCTGTTATATTCTGCACTTTTTTCTTATATTCGTCAATATTTCTGGAAATAAACCAGAATTTTGGAGTTAACAACAATATTTGAGTCAATTTTCAGTTTTTACTCAAATAATTTGGGTATGCTTGTCCCAATCTTCTGAAAATGAATACTATACACGGAACTATTTTATGAATTTGTAATGACAAGTGGGAAATGGTGATGAAAAGGTTACAAAAATTTAAAGCGAGAGAGTCATCATCACGTGCGCATGCGTCAGATGGTCATAGCGTGTCATTGTTTACAAACAAGCGTCTACCCATGAATCTTTGCGTTTTTAGCATGTGTTAATAACGTCGCTTGGGACTTGATTCCCGCACGTGCTTTAAACTTACCCTTGACATTTAACCGATTTATGTCATTGGCGATATTTTGTATGCTTTCACTCATCTTTTCATTATGCTGGGTCAATCTATCGTTCAGTGCCAGTATCTGGTCATTCAGTTGTTCAATTTTATTACTTAGCTGCATTACGATATCTATAAGTTGTGTAAGCGTTGGTTGGTCATCTTTGCCATTGCAGTCTTTTTCATTTCCACAGTCAGGCAATGTCAACGTATACTGGCATCTAGTGGATGTATTGCAATAATATTGGTATGACGTCATTCCCCGCTGTCCTGTTGTACTCTGTGAGATAACAGTCATGGTCATTGCTGCCAAGTTTAAAGCCCAAAGTACGTACATAATGTGCTGCCCAGAAGTAAACAATGGCGAAAGAAGAACACACCTAGAATGTAGAATGAATATAAAGATAAAAAATGTGTTATTCCAGCCGTTTGGAAAATTACATTAGTTACATTTGAAATAAATTTAATGAAAATACGATAAGGTTTCGATAATAATAAAATATAAAATGAGATATCTGATAATAACTGAAATAACTTGTAATAACAATTATTTTGTTTAAATTCTGTTACAAGATGTCAGGTAGAATGATAACAAGTCATTGTTAATGACACAGTCCCTGTCCAAAATGTTGTGATCTGACATATCAACTTGATGCTGATGAAGTCATTGAGATTAGATTGAAACCATTAATAGGAGATGGATTTGTAAAAAATATGATTTAGTGCTTTTACACGAGAATTTGACATTGGGCAGTCATATTGAATCAAATTACAAAAATAATGTTCATGTTGATGTATCTATTGGTATACTGTCTTTGTACAAAATTTAAACAGAAATATTCATTGCATTCATGGGAAAGTAGGCATGGGTATCATGAAAAATAAAATGGCCACCAGTCAGCCATATTAGTTTGAATCACAGAAAAAATATGACATGCAACTATAACCCAATATGTATGATCACCATACCAACTTTGATCCAAATCGGCCTAGTCATCTATGAGAAACAGCTCCGGACATGTAAAAATGACGACTTAGCGCTTTTACATGAAAATTGGGCGTCGGCCAGCCATATTGAATTGAATCACAAAAATCATGTTGGTGCAGATGTATCTCTTGGTATACTATCATTGTACACAATTTAAACAGAAACGTTCATTGCATTCAAGATAAAGTAGCATGGGTACCGTGAAAAACACGATGTCCGCAAGTCGGCCATAATTGTTCGAATCACGGGGGGGGGGGGGAAATGACGTGCACCTACAACCCAATATGTATGATCATCATACCAACTTTGATCCAAGTCGGCCCAGTCATCTCCGTGAAACTGCTGCGGACACGTTTAGGTATCAGAAATACAAAATGGCCGCCATTTTTGCTCCGATCATAAAGTAACTTGATGCGCATATGTAAGACATTATGTATTGTATTCATGGAAAGTTTGAATGAAATCCGTCAATGGGTGTCCGAGATATAGCTCCGGACGTACGTACGGATGGACAGACGGACAGACTGAACGAACGAATCCAAATTAATGGTCCGAACGGAAACTAATGAAATAATATTGTGGTGTTTTTATTTGAGTTTAAATTGGTATCAAATTTTGTGAATTTACTGTTTTTTGATTTAATTATTTTGAATAGTACTAGTATGTTTCTTTCCTTGAATAATTTATATATTATAAAATGGTGTATTTCATCTACTATTATTTACCACCGGTGTTTTTGGTTGTGTATACTTTCCTATCGCCAGTTTATGACAACTTAATCTGAATTTTGCAACTATTTTAACATGTTGTTAATTTTTAATATGTTTATATATTCCTTTTGTTCAAGTTTGAGCATAAGTGCTGTCGTGTCGACATATGCACAACTATAATGTAGAAGTGCACAACTACAATGTAGAATATGCATTGTCATTGTCACACTGTGATCTAGAATATAGAATAACAATTTACAATTATACTATTAGTATTAGATTATTCCACCGCAGAACCAAAATTAAAATGTCCCTTAGATTTTATATCTTTTATTTAAATTACAAGTAACTCAATAAAGACGGCATGCGCAGGTAATGACCCCCTGCTTTAAAATCAACTATATTGTCTTTGACATCGAGGCAACATACATGTAGATCTACGTAATATCAAATCTTTTGCAAATCTAATTCGGTAATTAATACAGCATGTATATAAATGATTTAAAACTATGAATAAATCTACAGTCGTAATATGCACTAACTATTATATCGATTATCATAATATTGTGCTTACCTGAAAAACAAACAAAAAAAACATGTTGTTTAAGGGGTGCAATGTATGTACATTACTTAGAGTAGATGATTGTTATTGCATCTTACCAAATGGACTTTTTTAAATGAAATATTAAAAAACATCCTCACTTTGTAAGTCTGGGCGGCGTAATCAACATTTGCATATGTACATTCAAATTCTTATTTTCGCCATGATATAGCCACAGTTTCCAACCACTTGTTCGTAAGACATACTCATAAAGCAAGAGATATGTCTACATGAATATTTCTACTAGCCCATGTCAAATGGTTTTACAAAAATAGATCATGTATTTTCAATAACGCCACAAATGTAGGACCAGCGGTTCAACAATGGCGTAATCAGAAGTCCTCTATTGTCATGCAGCATTCTGATAGTGTTTATTGTGTGTAGAACATCCGTAAAGTATATATTTCGGCTGAAGTACTAACTGCATCAGTCAATGATAAAGTTATGATCAATAACGGGCCAAGCAACGACTTACGAAGTAATTCTAATTCTTGTTTCTCTCAGTGGTGCACCTGTGAGCACTAAATAGTTTTTGTGTGAAATCGTCGTAGATTCAAGTTTGTTCAAAGCCTTGTGATAATGTTTAGGGGAATAAGTTCACATATAGTACTAGTATTACACGAACTAGATTGTTTTCACCGCACAACTACTTTCCTCACTGGATACTTAGAAATAAATGCAATATTAATTTTGCATAGGTCACAAAACATGTATGCGTAGCATGGCTGGTAAAACTACACTATATTATGAGTTAAACTCACCTTATATATGTATATACTGTACAGTATGGTCTCAGTTGATTCTGTCTCTGGTGAAGTTAACGATAACGCAGCGCTTGATTCGACGACGGCACGGTGATGACGAGGAAATAGTAATCTGTTGAGCTATAGTATGTGCAGCGATGATTCAGACAAACTGCCGCGTCAGTACTTCCTTATCAACCAGTCTGCCAATAGTTGCGTAAAGTATGCTGCTACAATAAACTGGCAAACGACGATTTTTTTTTATATCTATGCTATTGTTATTTAGATCTTTGCCATTGTAATGTCTGGTTCCTGGTTGCTGAGTATGTGTTCATTCAGCCATGTAGCTGACTTCTTTTGACTTGGTTAGTGTGCGCATACTTTTGAAAATGACTCACGAAATATAGAATGACCTGACAATATATTAGTGAATAAGCATTTAATTTAGAACGGGAGTTTGTGATTCAATGCTGGAATGTTTTTTTGTTCCGCCCCTATGGATGTGCTTGACTGTTGATTGGATGACATTCAGGTAACTTTATATTTATCATATCATGGATAACTTAAAGCGGGAGAATCGTCACCTGCGCATGCGTCAGATGGCCATAGCGTGTCATTGTTTACAAACAAGCGTTTTTACGTTTTTTGCGTGTGTTAATTGTTATCGTTGCTTGGGACTCAATTCCCCCCCGTTTGCAGGTGACGACCCTCCCGCTTTATAATAAGTTCAAATGTTAAATTATAAACTCGTTAATTAGTAACTTTTCCCAACATCCTTGCATTGATCAAAACGCTCCTAACAATATAGTTTGACATAATTAGTGATTGAACACTCGTCTTGAAACATTCCTACTTGAGCTAATTCTTTATTAAATGTTATTCTATCTGCATGTATGTACGTCTGTCTGCTCTGAGGATTTGACCAGAAATAACTTCCTGTTATACATTTATATCAGTCATAATGACTTTTGTAGCAGTGAACACAACTAGTCCACAAAAAACAGTTTTTTTAATGTGTCTAATTCTTGGCATAAAGATTGTGTTTATTGACTTATTGATGCCAATCCATTCTGTGTGTGTTTCCACTCAAAATGGCCGACTAGTGGCTAGGTGCTAGTGTGCCTGTAGTCATTTCTGTGACATAATTGGCCGATTTGGTTCTAAGTTGATACAATGTTTAGTATTCATAGTTTACATACTGTTATAAGATAAATTTGTGATTTGACCGACTAATATAGCGCCCTCTGTTGACGAATTGACTCAAGTCAGCAAAATGCGTTTTTTATTAAGAAAACAACCCGCGCACCATTTTTGAAAAAAACAATTGACCATAAATATTTGTTGCTAGGTAATATTTCGGATGTTCTTTGTTAGTTTCAAATTAAAATGTCCACCCAATTATTTGATGAATGACCGTACAGGTGATTCATGTTTTTTATGAGAACACAGCTTACAATGACATTGAATGGGTAAAAACATGTTGGAATGTAAAACTCTCGATGGTGCCATCAAATATTATAGAGCATTTTTTTAAATTCTAATATCAAGTTTAGATCAACAAAACATAAGCTTCGACAATAGTAATAAATTCCTTGTTAACACAATTTTCTGTGAAATTGGCATTCATCTTCTGCTCTCTGCTCAATGGTACATCACGTGTTAAACACATAAAATATAGGGTTGAAAGAAACGGACGGGGACTGTTTTGAATAATTTATTTGTTAATATTGAAGCAAAAGAATATAATTTTCCACAGCTCACATGTGCTGACCAATTATTTTTAAAAATACGGAAAACATTAAGCAGGTTTTGTTAGAAGTAAGTTGGTTCTGTCATTTATGAACATAAATTTACTATGTGAGTACATGACACTCATGCAACATAATACTGACATATGTGGTTATATTTTACGCACTCTCAGATGGTGTTTTTACATTTACTGGTTTCCTTGGATAATAATGCGATTAATGTAATGAGGTGGGGTAGTAGGAAAGAAAAACAAAAATCTACCTCTACTCTTGATGCATACAATATGCAAAGTGCGAATCCCCTATCCATGTTCCAGTACTACCGATCTTTATAATTATTTATGTACAGCCTTGCTAAATCTTGCTAAGCATTCAAAAGAGAGAATGTGTGTACCTGTTTTCTATATTATAAAATCGTCATTTGAGTATGTTCCAGTATTCCCAATACTGCGAAATTTTAACATATATAGCCAAGACTGCTTTGATAATAAAAAGCAAAAAAAAAAAA